TAGACCAGTGACATGCATTTTCTTGTGTAAGCATATGATGATTAATCTTAATTGTCACCTTGATTGGCTTTTTTTTCTTTTTTTTTTTTTTCTTTTTTTTTTTTTTTTTTTTGGTTTTTCGAGACAGGGTCTCTCTGTGTAGCTTTGCGCCTTTCCTGGAACTCACTTGGTAGCCCAGGCTGGCCTCGAACTCACAGAGATCCGCCTGGCTCTGCCTCCCGAGTGCTGGGATTTTGATTGGCTTAAAAACTGTCTGGGAGATTAGTGAAACACGCCTCTATGTGTCTGTGAAGTGTTTCCCAGCAAGTCTAGACCTTTAGAGTTCTAACCAATGAACAGATTATTTCTTGATGGAAATATGATGGCATTAGGGGTAGGGCCTAGTTGAATCGGGTAGATTCTTAGAGACACATCCCTGGGGCCTAGACTTTGCACTGGCCTCTTCCTGTATTCCATTTTCCTCTGCTTCCTGTCTACCATGAAGAAGTTGTTACCTGGCACACTCCAGCCACCATGATGTTCTGCCTTAGGACAGATCGGGAAACACAATCCAAGTGACCAGGGAATAAACCTTCTGAGACCGTAAGCCAAATTAAATCCTGCTTCCCTTAAGTCGTCTCTGTCAGCACAGGGCTGCAGCCACAACTGCTTCAGCACAATGGCCTGTGTGCTGGCTCCCCTGTGGCAGGAGCATGCAGCTGCTTCTGCTGTCCTCACACAGGGACCTTCACAGCACCCGTGGTGTCATTCAGAGAAGCACCCCTTCTGCATGCTTCTCAGACTGGGTAGGTCTGATCATTTCTCCCTGTCCACAGAGGCTGCAGCCTGGGCCAGGAAACACAGGGCTCTTGAACTCACACTGTGGTTATTAGGAAAGGAGCATTCTTCCCCCCACCCCTCAGGCTTGCAGAGCAGAGAAAAAGGGAGCCTGTGGTCCCTGGGCTATCTCTGGCCAACAATAAAATGCCTGCCTGCTTGTGAGTGAGAAGTGGTTCCCACTGTGAGTGAGAAGTGGTTCCCACCGTGAGTTTCCTCACCAGCAACCTCAGAGGCACCCAAAAACTCTTGGGAACAAATGCTTAGGTGTTTAGATCCACTGAGTCAGATAGTAGGGGACTGGGCTCAACCATTCTGAGGCAAGCCCAAGTTTGACAACCACTTGATCTGAGGAAAATTCACCTAAGTTCAGAAGAAATAGCTTTCTGATAACAGTGTGAGCACCTGGTCCTCACAGGCCTAAGACCCCACCCACAGATGTGGGCTTTTTGTGTCTATGGTGAACCTTCAATTAATTTCCTTTGTTACCTAAGGCTGTTTGATTTTTTTCTTCTTTTTGAGACAGAATATCATGTAGCCCAGGCTAGTCTCAAACTCACTATGTAGCTGGGTCTGACCTTGAACACCTGATCCTCTTGCCTCCATTTCTCAGGTACTAAGGTTGCAGGTATGTACTAGCAAACCCAGACAGTAGGAATTTGTATCACTCGCTGTTAATGAGGACTGACTGGAATTGTATGAGACTCTGGACTTTGACATATGGTGCTTGGGCTGCAGGTGTTTGGACAGGAACTCTAACTACAGGGCTGTCAGCATCCTCCAACTCGACTCACGCTGATGGTGTTACTGTGTTTCTGCAGCTGGTGGCTTATCTGGGAAAAGTGTCTCCTATATATCACTTCCCTAGATCCTGAAAAAAGGGACAGTAAACTTCCTGCATCAGAGACAAATTTTCACCCACCTTTCAGAAGACAAGAGGTCTCTGTGAGGAGATTCCATGAGTTTTAGAAAGCTTATGGATAGACACTGGAGCAATACAGGCCAGGAGTGAGAAGCAGGTACCATGACACTGAGTGAGGTGCTCCATGTTAAATGCGTGTTTAATGGACACAAGCTCAGTGGGATGGGCTTGGCCAAAGACAAGGGGGTAAGAGGAGAAACAAAGCTGTAGAGAGTACAGGCAATGGGTTACCATCCTAGAATGGCAGACTAATTAATGTAACCATCGTTCACTGAAGCAAAACTAGAAAACCTGGTCTGAGCATACTGAAGTTGGTTTGTCAAAAGGAATCGATTTGAAGGCATGTCCCTGTGGGAGGGAAGGAACTGTGAAGTAAACAGTACAGGGCCAGGAGCAGGCAGGCGGAGGCGAACACACCTGAGAGGCCTCCTGCTCAAGGTGTTCATGCTGCTGAGAAGAGCTACTACAGGCTGGAAGCTGAGCATGGCTTGTGATGGACTCAAGGGAATGGCAGTCCTAGAGTGAGAGTGACCTGGAAACAGCCAGGGGGAGGGGTGTGGAAAGGTCAACAGTGCAGATGCCTCAAACTTACTACTGACTGCATAAAACAACAAAAACAATGCCTAATGGGATTTAAAACCTGCAAGGAGTTAAAATTAATACTGATAGCATTTAAAATGGGAGGGGAACAAACACTTAGAGCTGGAGGTCTTTCTGCCAAATTAGAAGCGGTAAATGTGCTAATTTAAAGTAGATGCTGATAAGTCAAGAATGCACATTGCAATCTCTAGTAATGAGTAAAAGAATAAAAGAATGTATAACTAACAATCTAATAGAGAGGGGAAAGAGGAATAATACAAGGCAATTGACTCAAAAGAAGGCAAGAGAGGGAAGAAAGAGGGATATGAAACAGGCAAAGCAAATAAAAAAACAGATAATAAGATTGCAGGTTTAAATGCAAATATATCAGCAATTACATTAAATGTAAATGGACTAAGTGCTCCCATTAAAACACACAGATTGTTGGAGGATAAAAATAAAAACCAATTGCGTCCTGCTTACAAAAAGCAAACCTTAATACAGAGATGTAGGAAGCTTGAAAGGAAAAGAATGAAATAAAGATACAGGCCATAAACACTGGCCAAAAGAAACTGAGTAGCTCTAAGACTGACAGCACAAAGTGTGACACAAGAGAAGAAAGGCAACGGTAACAGTGAGAGGCTCATTTGCAAGGGAGACTGAGAAGTCTTTTTACACACCCAAACCACAACCACCCACCCAAATGAAGGTAACATGCATGAGCATCCCATCCTCAGATTCTGTGGGAGAATGGAGTGCTGGCTTCAGTGTCCTCTCAGGATGTCTTTGGCTCCTGTATCCTTAGTGGTGTGAACGTTCCAGCTCTCTCTGCCTAGTTCTGTGGTTTGAAATACACTTCCCCTGTAACCTATACCCCCACAACAAAGCCAAGTGCTTCATCTGGGCTCAGCCAAGAGACCACGATTCCCCAGCCTGGAGTGAGACTCTGGGTCTACTGAGAGATGCTGTATACACTGTGGCACTGTCTGCAAAGCCATCTATGGCTGGCCTGGTCATCAGTCTGCTGGCTTCTGAAGACAGCTTTGGCCACTGTGATCCAACTGTACCTAGGACACTGTGGTGACAAGGCCAGCTTTCCACTTTCACCTCAACTATCAAACTTGAGATATGTGGTTGCTAGAGGAGCCAGGTACTGAACAGCCTGTCACAAAACAATAACCTTTCATGGTAATCACCTTTAATACTGATAAGCTGTTCAAAGTGAGGGCTCCATCTCAAACAGCATCTATGGAACAATTCCCAGAAACCGTGGATAATCAGATTTCCTATAGACGACTTGGTGGTATGTGGATTCCTGTGTGTTTGTGTGTTTCTTTGCCATGGAACCAGGACTGTGTTCACCTCAGGCACCCACCATCCATCCCTGGGCTCCTTCTCACTTTCTGCTATTGTCTCCCCTTTCCCTCATCTCCATCTCCTCAATCTATTAAACCATGGCTGAACTTGAGAGAGAAAGATACTATGAATTAGTTAATTTGTTAATTAGGCTCTGTCAAAGTGACAGCTGAGTTGAATCTTGAATCATATCTCCTAAGAAGATAATGATGGGTTGGCAGTGTGGCTCAGTGGCACTTGCCTATTATGTGCAAGACCCTGGGTTTAGTCAACAGCAACATACACACAGACACGCAGACACAGACACACACCCACTGAGTCCTAGTCCCAGTGTATATGGATGCGTCTTCCTTAGGAAAAAGGGTCTCTGCAAATGAAGCAGCTAAAATGTGACCAGAAGGTGGAAGCAGCATGACTGGTGTCTACAGAACTGCTAAGTGTGGACACAGAGACACATACGCGAGAGTGCCATGAGCATGGGTCATTCTGTCACAGCCACAGAGCTACAGAAGATGGCAGGGAACCTGAAGCAACCTTCCCTGCACCTGTGGAGGATGTCCCTGTCAACACCTTGCCTTGTGTAAGCAACTGTGGGTGGCACTTTGTTCAGGGAGCCCTGCAGACAAATTCAGTGTGCACGATGACTTTAGTTCAAATATGGTTTATCTTTTAAAGGTGTTCGTATTAACTATGAGCAGCATTAACATTTGTCAGGGCTGGGGTATGGACTGTGGTTGGTGAAGTATGAGGTCTTGATGCTTCCTTTTAATTGTCAATCTGACAGTCGTCCTCAATGAGGGACTGTCTAGGTCAGGCTGGGCATGTCTGTGATTATCTTGATTATGTTAATTGATATGGGAAGACCCAGCCTAGAAGCGGGTGGCACCCTTCCCTGGGTTTGGGGTCTAGACTGTATAAAAAAGGAGAAAGCAAGCTGAGTGCAAGCATGCATCATTTGTTCTCTGCTTTTGACTATGATGTGACTAGCTGCTTCAAATTCCAGCCTTGACTTCCCTGCCACAATGGGACCATAACCTAGAGCTGTGAGCTAAAATAAGCCCCCTCCCCCTAAGTTGTTTTGTCTGGATACTTTATCACAGGAACAGGAAATGAAATATAGGTTCCACACCCAGCACTGGAAAAAGCAATTTAAATAATATCAATAATAGTAACACTTTAATGAGCACTAGAAAAAAACTGTAGCAAGTGACTTAAGGTCAGCTCAGCCCTCCACGGAGGGTAAGGAAGAAACAAGACCTTCATCGTGGTGCCCACTGGGAGTATCCACCTCACCACCCCCAACTCATTCAGGGCCCCCAACTCTTACTGGAGCAGGCCCTCTCCTGGTCTGGGAACACAGTGGGGGGCTGTGGATTCAGGACTGACTCTGGTTTGCTGGGGATGAAGACTTCAGCATTGTCCTTCCGCTTAGCAGATAAAACCCTCTCCATTTTGTTACCTGTGGGGAAGCAACGGATTCTGTCAGCCACTGAGCATAGGGAGAGCAGGGCATTCCTCTCAGACATTTGTTTATCATTTGCTCACTTAGTCACTCAACAAATATTTATCGAACTCTTCTGTACCAGGAACCTTGCTGGTAGGGGATTATGGGACTCTGTAGACAGCAATGATAAATAAATGAGATGCTTTGGAACAGACACAGGTTTCAGTGTCTAACATTTCCAGACAGTAGAGGCCTTTACTAACAGTGTGCACACACAGAGATGGCAACCACGGTGAGGCAATTGCTCAGAAAGTTAGGGTGGTTGGCAAGCCAATGAGGCGCTGGCTTTAATTGGTGCAAGTAATGGTGCCAGCAAGGGCATCTTGGAGATGAAGGGGCATGGTAAAATGCATTCACAGTCCTCAGGGGCTCATAGCTGGAGAAAAGGACAGCTGAAAAGATGAGGAAACAGGATGCAGACAGAAGTCACGAAGCATGGAGCCAGAGGACAGGCTGGCAAAGGTACACATGGTGATGATGGAGAGAGATCTTGTGGGTAACTAGCGTATTACCAGGGCCACCAGATGTGGGAACAGCACATGCAAAGGCTTGATGAAGGTTTGGGAGCTGATGCCCATCCTGGCTGGAGGTTCAGACTGCTGCCAAACCTACCCTCTTCAGAGTAATGTTTCTAAAAGAGCCCTTCACACTAGGGGCACACGGGTGACTGCTGATGCCAGGTGGCAGATGGTCTTTATGAATTTGTGTGTATGTGGTGCTGGGGACAGAATCCAGAACCAGGGTGTCAGGCATGGTAGGTAAGTGTTCCACTCTGAGCTCCAGGCCCAGCCCTGAACACATTTCTGTATCTTAATGTATATGGGAAAAGGTATAATTAGTGTGTCCAAACTTGACATGAAAGTCACACACAGGGCAATTGTAGGGAGGGGGATCAAGGGCAGATGAAAAAACACCTCAAGACGCCAAAGGCAGGGACAGTGTTCGGTCCCTGTACTTGGGGACATCCTGGCCTGAGAAACAAGTAAGCCCAGGAGGAGACCATCCAAGCATAAGGTGTTCACTAACACTACCTGCTCACACTCAGTGGGTTTCGGCCACACTGACCTTTTTCCTGTGCTTCTGCACACCAATCCTCACCCCCTTGGAGCCCCTGTGCCTGCTGGTCCCAGCCCCAGGAAGGCAGGACCCAGCGCCAGACCAGCACTACCTCTGTTGGGAAGGTTGCCCGACAACTCCAGCTAAGCAGCCCCACCCCACCCCACCAGCATCTTGCTGTAACTGTCAGAGGTCACCTTCAAGCAGGTGTCCCCCCACTCAAGCCCTGCCCCAGCAGTGTTCCCTCAGCTTTCCAAGGCTGTTTTCTGGAAAACCTCCTCAGGTGGACAGCAGCTGTTTCCGCCTGCCTGGCTTCCTTCTTATTCCCTCAGGTTCTCCTTAGCCATACCTTTCCTGTACGTGAATGAGTGGAGGCAATCACATCCCTCAGTCCTATGGTCAGCCTAAAGAAAGAGATTAGCTCTGAGATGGCAGTGACCTGTGGTAGACTTGCTACTGTGATTTTTGAGAGCCACACCTAGGACTTTTGGGAAAGAGAAGCTGACTTCCTAGTGACCTACAAGGCCCATGTCTCCTGTGAAGGCAACTGTGCCTCTGATTGCCTGAAAGCTGCCTCAGAATGGAACTAACTCAAGGGAAATCTGACAGAAGAGGGGAAGCAATAGGAGGGAGGAGAGGAGGAAAGAGGGCAGAAGAAAAGAGAAGTAGAGGGCAGTCGGGAGGGGAGGGGAGGGCAATGGCCCTACCCCAGCTCTGGCCTTCACAGTTATCCTAGGCAATAACTAGTCCCTTCTGCATTAGCCAGTTGAAATGCAAATGCCACTAAAGTTTCCACAGCACACTGGAGAAGGTTCCCATGGGAAAGCCCATGGTCTTTGGAAGCCATTGGGTGCCTTTCCCTCTCAGCACACAGGGCCCAGCTGTTTTGCCCTGGTGTGGAATTCACTTGAGCTGAGTTTCCAAACACTGTGGAACACTGAGTCCTAGGACTAGATACAGAGACACTTGAGGCCAAAAAAAGCTCATGATTAGAGCTCACTTTTAGAAGCTGGGTTAAACTCCATCACCACAAGGGTGTCTATGCCCTGGGGAGGCCGGCCTTCCAGCTCCTTGTCCTTGGGGACATCCTTCTGTACTGTGTCCTGGCTGGGAAGAGGAAACTCATTGCTGGTATGGCCTGGCAGTATGAGGTCCTCAGTCTCGGTCTCAGAGAGGACGTCTTCCTCAATAGAGTCGTACTCGTCACTGGAGCCATCCTCCTGCGTTTGGAGGTCTGTGCTGAGTCCCAGACCTTTTCTCAGCTCCTGCAGAGAGCCCAGGAGACATGAAAGGTAAGGACTTGTGTGAAAACAGACATTCTGAACCAAAGAATGACTCCACCCAATGCCCAGCAGCATCTCAGCCAAGTTGCTGGTGCTGCTTTGAAGATGGTAAAACAAAGGTCAGAGGGGAATGACCATGAAGGAGCAGCACCTCTGGTGCTGTCTTATCACTGGCCTATTGCTGTGAAGAGACACGATGACCAAGGCAACTCTTGTAAGAGGAAACATTCAGTTGGGATTTGCTTTCAGAGGTTAGTCCATTATTATCATTAAAATTTATTGCATGTGTATTTAAAAGAAGTGGGAAAACTCAAACTGACTGATGATGGAAACCTGGATGTGAGAGCTGCCCTTGGCATGGGCTCTGGAAATGAGGGACATGCAGCTGGAAGAAAGGGATCCTGTCCTGTAGAAAATTCTGAGGCAACTACGTCTTGGGGTTCCATAACACACAGAGCTTGTCAGTGTTGAACCTGGGTAATTAAAAGCTGGACAGATTGCTAAGTGATAAGTTGAAGGTCTGCTTTCCTCTAGCTGCTGAGCAAAAGGCAAGAGGCAGGAGACAGAGCTAAGGGAAGAACTGCCAGGGGAGGGGAACCAAGGGCTCATTTTCCTCTCAGCTAGCAGAAGCTAACACTAGGAGCCCCAGCTGTCAGGAAAGCATGTCCTGGAGAGAAAACCAAGGGAATGGCGAGATCTCCCCTGTGGTTTGTGGATTCCTTGGGCCACCTTAGCAGAGAGAGGATTATCCAGGAAAGACTAGGCAGGAAAAGGGGCGTCTAATGGAGGGAATCCTACAGAAACCCATAGTAACCCATGTGGTTTCTGAGAATATCTAGCTGCCAGAAACACTCAAGCTGGAATGGAACAGGAGCATGAAAGACCAAATGAAAAAAGGCTCTCAGAGTGCTCTGTCTACAGGCAGGAGAGGGACGGGAGAGACTCATCCGCAAACACATGTTGTCTTCCCTGAGAAAGCAAGGCCCTGAGGACTGTGCCGGGGGCTGAGAGGGTGGAGGGCGGACACAGAGAATTACTCCCAGGCCTGGACTCTTGAAATTGCTTGAGTCAGAGGGTTCATCTTCCTCTTGTCTCAATGCCTATGCCTGATGTTCCACAGGTAAAACAGATGTGAATCTTGTTGGTGGGGGGTGGGGGGGGGTGGGGGGGTGGGGGGTAGGAGGGTGGGGGGGAGCAGAGAACAGATAATAGTAGACTTAATAAAAGTTCCCAAAAGATGTTCCCTGGGACCTGTCAACATGTGCCCTTCTATGGCAAAGGACCTTCCCAGATGAAAGTAAGGATTTGCTGAGATCACCAAGGCAGGCCTGAAGGAATTATGGGGCAATCATAGAAAGGCAGGAAGAGCAACATCAGCAAGATCTAAGAATGGAAGCAGACATCAGGAAGAAGAGGAGATGCTAGGATGGTGGCTCTGGATGGGGAGGATGGGGCCAGGCAAAGCAGGGGCCTCTAGGACCCAGATTCTTTCCTGGAGCCTGCAGAAGAAACACAGGCCTGCTAACACCTTGAGTTCAGGCTGATGATGGTGAGTCTGAATCCCTGACTCCCAGTACTGTCAGGAAAGCTGCTAAGGCAAAGGGAAGCTGCAGCAGCAGCAGGAGCACAAAATGAATTTGTGTCTTTTCCAGTTCCTTCTCCTACTGTCCCACCCTGTATCAGCACCGGGCTGGTTACTTAGCAACTGCACTACTGTCTGGAGCACAGTGGAGCTTGATAAATACTTGCTGAATGAGTAAATTACATGGAAGCCTGGATGGTGACTTAGCAGAGACAGGACACACCGACATACCTTAGAGGAGGTGACATCAATGACAGGACCCTTACCAAATTAATTTACTCCTCTGAGCCACACTTTGACCTCCATCATTTGACTTACCATGTCCTTGATACACTGCATTGTGATAATAAAGCCATGGTCTGAACTGGGCATAGTTTTCCCTAACAAGAGGACACTTGGCAATGACTAGAGCCATTTTAATCACAACATGTATTGAGAGAGTGCTCCTGACAGCTAGTAGGTGAGCGCCAGCAACGATGCTGCTGGACTTGCTGGAAGGCAGCGGACAACGTTCACTTCAAAGAATGATCTGGTCGCAGTGTTGACAGTGTTGAGGTAAAAAAGTCCTGTGTTGGAGCAAGCACACCTTCACCACTGGTGTCCAAAAGATAATGCCAAGATTGTCTGTGCAGACCTCGTGGGAGCTACACGCTGAGGTCCTAGCTCATGTCATCAAAGTCTGGCTGTGGTGGGCAGTTGGAGGTCAACAGATTTACTCTTTCTCTCCAGGGAAACATGAGCTCCTGGGTGGCCTGCTGTTGGATGGCAGCATTAGCTTCAACTCAGTCTTCTACAGCAGACTAATGCTCTGAGCTCTGTACAACACTCAGGTCCTTCTCGTTTGATTTTCACAATAACCTGGTCAGACAAAAAACCTGAAGCCCCGTGATCACTTGAACTTGGTAATAACTCTCAAGGGGGTAAGCTTAAGTTCCCAGGAAAAGCATTCTTTGTTTATGAACCCCTATATTTTGGCCCAGATATTTTATTTTATTTTATTTTTTTGAGACAGTGTTTCTCTGTGTAACAGCCCTGGCTGTCCTGGAACTAGCTCTGCAAACCAGGCTGGTCTCAAACTCAGAGATTGGCCTGCCTCTGCCTCCTGAGTGCTGAGATTGAAGTCATGAGCCACCACGGCCCAGCTCCAGTTACTTTTACAATGAAGAAATGGGAACCAACAGGAGAGTGAGTCCTACCACTGTCCTCGAAATCCCACTCTGTCCCCACTGATATCCAAAGTAGAGTGAAGCTCCATCCACTGCCAGTTCCAGGCAGGTGACTGTAGCCCTGTATTTATGGGAATCTCTAAAGAACAGAGTCCTTCAGCTTGTATAACTTCTCACAGTGATTAAGTGGCAGGAGTAGAAATTTTGCTCAGCCCCCAGTTCTTATTCCTTCTAGAAAACCCAGAGAAAAGACTGATTCTAGTACATTCAACATGGCCCACCAACAGGAACATAATGGGGTAGTTCTCCATCAATAAGGAAGACAGCCATTCCATACGAGATCCCCGGCCGCCCAATAGCTCCTGGGTCACAAACTGTTCATAGCACATTGCTTGTGCCTTAACTTTAGGGCCCACTCTGTAGTGTGAGTGTGAGAGTGTGTGTGTGTGTGTGTGTGTGTGTGTGTGTGTGTGTGTGTGTGTGTATGTGTATGTGTATGTGTATGTGTATGTGTATGTGTATGTGTGTATGTGTGTATTTAAACATTGGGGATGAAACCCAGGACTGTGCACCTGGCAGGTTAGTACTCTACCACTGAGCTACAGTCCCAGCTCTTGATTTTATGAATCAGAGTCTTATCAAGCATATGCCCATGCTTGCTGGGTTGCTGTGCTGATGGCCAGTCACAGTAGAAACAAGGAGACAAGACCTCTGCTCTCACTGGAACACACAGTATGCTGAGGGAGCTAGCAGAAAGTAAAGCAAATGGTAAATCCCAAGGCTCAATGTCCGTTCATCATTTACTAAGCTTATGGATCATTTATGAACTAGTATTTCTCATGACAAAGAAAGTGAACTTCAATAATCCCTGATTCAACCTGCTTTCTTTTTCTTCCATAAGTCAACGTAAATGTAGAGAACAAACAGTATTTACAAGTATATAAACACACACACAGAGGAGAGAAAGAGAGTGCGCCTAGATTCTACTTGGCTGCACTTTTTTCACTAAGAAAAAGACTCCATTTGCCTGCAGGTGGTGAGTGACCCGAGAAACCTGAGATGCTCATGTGATCTGAAACCATATGTTCCAGAAGCAAGGGGAGCTGAGCTAAGAAGCAGCATTCTCTCTAGAAAGAACTGTTCAGAACCTTTCCATCTGCGCAGAGCGGGACCTTGGCTGGGATGGTAACTTTGAAAGCCAATCTGCCGGCACTTCAAAGTGGTGCCCTGCTGTGGGATCTATAAGGGGCTTTGAAGTTGTCACCCAGAATCTTCTCTGGGAAAACATACTTTATACTTCACTTTAAAACTTGATTATATTCAATTTCAGTGTTCAGTGTTTCAAATGCTAAGTTCAGGAACCAAAGTCTTCCACGTGGAGGCCAAGGTGCAGACATCACAGGAACTGAGCTGATAACCGAGCACAAAACGCCCTCCCCATGGGAGTTAGGAAGGGTAAGGATGGATGCTGAAGATGGGAGGCATGGCTATAGAAACCACTACTAAAATGTAGCCAGAGTTTAATGGCCAGGAGTCCAGTATCTGTCCACAAGCTTCCTCTCTCCTCTGGGCTAAGAGTAAAACTGGGTGACTATCAAATGCCAAGGTCTCACAATGACAATGACAATATCCATGGCATCAGTAACAGCCACACCAGGCACTAGCTAAACTCTCTATGTGCCTCATTTCAGCTCTCTGACACCCTGGTGCAGTGAATGGCATCATTTTGGCTCAGTGGGATGAAGGACAATCCCAGGGCCACACAGCTGGTAACGACAGAGCCAGTGTTCAGATAATGACTGGCTGAGTCCAAGGCTAGGGTACCAACTCAGCAGCTGTCTCCAGAAGAACTGGGTGTGCTGGGTGACCACTGTCATTGATCAGCAGGGAACTGGTGACCTTTGACACAAAGCTGCAAGGAGCTAATACCTGTCTTCAAGTATGTTATGGTTTGGATGTGAAATGTCTCACACAAGATTGTGACTTGAGCCCTTGGTCCCTAGTTGATGCTACTTGGAGAATCGGTAGAAGCTTTGGGAGGGCTTTGTAGCCTGGCCCTGGCTACAGCACTCTCCGCCTCCTAGTCTGTTTCCATGTGCACAGCCTTTCCTGCTGCCACCAACTAAGCCAGTCCATTCTCCTTTGGTGGAAAGACACTTCTGAATCCTCCCTTAAGTCTTTTCTGAGGCTAAGACAGCACATGTTGAGCATTAGTGGATGGAGCTTTACTCCCT